CCCACCAGCTTCTCCAGTTCTGACAGATGACATGAGGTAGCAGGGGATGTCAGTGCTCTGAGCAGCAGAGTCCAGGTGACCCAGGCTGTCCCACCTCTCTGCTCCACCTCTGTTATGCCAGGGTGCTGCTGAGGCACAGCACACTCAAAGCTTACGCTCCACAAGGAGCGGCTAACCTCAGCAGCGCAGCTGCAGGGATACAGCCCAACCCAGCTCTGCCGCCCACAGCCACACACTGCCTGCATATCCCACAGGGCATTTCCTCCGCGGCATGCACAGTTCTTGTCATCACGCCGTATATTTTAGCCTGTCATCCTGCCCCAGTGTCCCTGAAGATGAATGGACTTCTGCACCCTCGTGTTGGGAGGAGGGAGGGGTATGTTTGCTGGATTGTTTGCAGACATAGCTTTGGTAGAGCCAGGTGCTCACCTCTGATGAGCATGCCAGGCCTGAGGCTTTATAAAAGACTATGGTACAGGCACAGCTCAGCCCTTCCCCGTGCTTAGTCTCTCCGCTAGGAGCTTTCTGCCATCTCCCACTGCTCTCGCTGGGTGCTACAGATAGACAGAGGCAGTAAGCAGAGGAGGGGACCCTGCTATCCAACACACATACCCAGCGCAACAACAGCTCCATGCTCCCACATAGCAGCCCAATACAGCAGACTGCCCTCTTGCCTGCTCCCCAAGTCCCATCCTCCCTCCTGCCCTCTCCTCACAATGCCTCACATACTAGCTCACAGAGCTCACCTCCCAGAGCACTGGCTCAGATACTACCCAGATCGGTTATGCTTGATCTTACCCAGGAAGGTAGAGGGCTGACTCCAGGCCCCTGCAACAGGAGAGACTTGCAGCAGGTTTCAGTGCTGCTATTGGTACAGTAAAGATTAGGAAAAATGGAGTGGCTTATCAGGGGAAGAAGAAGGGTCCCAATTCTAGGGAGCAGAGGGAGGAACCAGGAGTACTGTTCACAGTTCATTTATGAGCACCCACCTGGCTCCCAGGCTAAAGTCGTGGCAAGAATGACAGATGCCCCTGCAGAACTGGAAAGCACTGTGTATTCATTCCTCTTCTCTCGTGCTCAGCAGAGAATCTCAATCCTTCTCAAAGCTACAGTTCTGTACCCTTCTTTCTCCAGCCCTGGCTATCATCCCCACCTGTGCGTGGAGCTGCCAGAACACCTATT